TTTTTTCACGTGGTGAGACCCACCGGCAAAATTGCGTGCGCCTTTAATCGCAACTTGTCTCACGCGAGAGAAAATTTTGCAAATTGTCGAGGTATTTCTCCCATACTCGCCCACCCCTGTCTTCATATTACTAACATTTTTACAGCTCGCAGATTTTTATATCACTTGCAGAAATCGAAATAACAAAGCCAAAAGTTTGAAATTCCAGAATGACCGAACCCTCGACAGCCAATTCTGGCTACCCTGCGACCCTGTTCAACTCTGCGGCCCTGCGCGAAGATGAAATTGCGAGCCAACCTGTACTAGATCCACCAGCAGCACAGTAAGCCAATTCTGTTCAAGAAAAGTTTGACTTAAAAATTTCCAGAATCAACCAATTCGATTCCGATCTCAAATTGAATGAAGCGAAAAAGAACTGGAGGGAATCCTGTGATATTTTGTGTTGTTGCTGTCCTAAAGTTTTTAAAGTTTGAATAGGATAATTTTTTCAGTGTCAGTTTTTTTCATGAGAATAAAATCTTAATTTCTTCTTCTTTTATTTTCTTGCCAAGCTCAAAAAGAGTGTATGTTAACGAAAATGGACCTAGACATGTGAACTTCCCTATTCTCTCGTCAAGGTAACAGAGAACGACAAAGATCGTTTTGATGTTTGTTCTTATTTGAAAACAAACTAAACGCGTGATTAGTTGCCATCTCTTGGTTGAACGAAGACGTTCAATTTCTCAATTTCTCCCTAAAAATGACCACCGTAATCTCCGTTCAACCGCAACTCGACCCGCCACCCCCAGAGCCCCTTCCGTGAGTTTATGGTCCCATTACAATCCAGAGCAACAATTTCAGAATGCCCATTAACAGTACCTCAATTGGAGATCTATCCTGGCTCGATCACCTCTCGTCTTGCTGTAGATGTATTCTGGAGGATTCTTTCAAATGTATTGGTGATTGTTGGCGAGGTTGTCTCGATGGATCTTGCTCGTGCTGCGATGGTACGTGTTGCTGCTGTAACTGTCCGTGCTGTGATGGGTCCTGCTCATGTTGTGATTGCAATAAATGTTGTAAGGGTACCAACTGCGCTTGCTGTGATGGACCAGGAGCTTGTGATTGTGGTGGCTGTGACGGCAGTGGATGTGATGGTAGCTGTGATTGTGGTGGCTGTGATGGTGGATGTGATTGTGGCGGCTGTGATTGTGGCGGCTGTGATTGCAGTTGATAACCAAAATTTTAATTTTATGATTTATATAATGACAATAAAGTACTCTATCTTTAATTATCTTGTTCCTTTCTAATTTCTTTAAGATCCAACATGATGTCTTCTATTCAAACCCAGAACCGGTTCTTGAAAAAATTGATCGGACTTCCCCTCCCTCTCGTTCCCTTTTTTTCAAAGTGATTCGTTTCATTTCACTTCTTCCCTTTCTCTTTCTTCAAAATGACCGATAGTGGATATCCAGCCAACCTGGTTACGGTGCAACCACCATACCATCCACCACCACCGGCTCCAGGGAATGGGTAGGTCAAAATCAAGAAGTCAGCTACAATATTTAAGACAACTTCAGAGAAAAGACAGAAGAGGAGGAAAAGAAAATGTCGGACGAGGATAAATGCTGCTGGTGCATGTTCGCGTGTGATATTTGCACCGAATGGACTTCGATTATTCTGAGTTGTCTTTCTAGATGATGAATTTTTGGATTTTTGAAAATACCGTAAAAACTCTAATAGAACGACACCCGGATCGTCCACTTTGAGCCTAGTCGTTCTATTAGAGGTTTTACGGTAATTTTTTTTTCTGGAATTTTGTTAATTGAGGTGATTCAGCCAGGTCGTTCTTGGGCAGAGCTTCGGAAAATAAATTTTAGAGGTGGCCTTCTATTAAAGGGGTTATAATACAGGTTCAACAGATAGCTCAAAGTACCAGTAGCGGATAATGTTCTTGTACAGTTTAAGGTAATAATATAATTATTTTTACTGCTTCTTTCGTTTTCTTGCCAAGAGTGTAGGACAATGAAAAATTATCTCGACATGTGAACTTTCCTGTTATGTCCCCTGTTCTCACATCAAGGTTACAAAAAAACGCTTTGATGTTTGTTCTTGTTAGAAAACCCACTGAACACGTGATTAGATGCCATCTTTTTGTTGAACGAAGGCATTCACTTTTTAAAAATGACTACCGTAATATCCGTCCAATGGCAACTTGACCCACCATCCTCAGAGCCACTTCTGTGAGTTCATGGCCCCATCACAATCCATGAGAACAATTTCTTGTGTACCTAGCCCAATTGGAGATCTATCCTGGCTTGATCATCTTTGGTCTTGTTTTAGATGTATTCTGGAAGATTCTATCAAATGTGTTGGTGAATGTTGTCGTGGTTAACTAGATGGGTCTTGTTCGTGCTGCGATGGTACATGTTGCCGCTGTAATTGTCCATGTTGTGATGGTTCATGTTCATGCTGTGGGTACGGTGCACGTTGTAATGGGTACTGTGAATTTTGTTGCATTTTGATGGTTGCTGCAAAGGTACGAACGGCTGTGCTAACCTGTGATGGAATCTGAGGTTGTGAAGATAGCGGAAGTGGTTTCAGCTGTTGATCAACATTATAGTCACATGATTAATGTTATGACAATAAAGAGCTCCTCTATTCAAAATTTTTGAAGTTAAGTTTGGCGAGACTTCCATCTGGGCCCTATATTTTTTCTCATGAGCCTATCTCTCACCATAAAGAGTCAAACGTTTTAGTGTGGGTCGAGAACAATATTTTTTTAGAAATTCAAAAATCATTTTGAACTATTTTTCTTGGGGAACGCACGTGGGTTCAGGCGTTATTCAATAATTCGTTCTATTTTCAGAGCAACCAGAATCCGGCATCCGATTGCGAAGACAACAACGACACGAGCTGTGCACATGAGAAGTCGGATGGATCATCGTGAGAAGTCGCATGGATCAATTGGGTTTAATAATAATTGTTATCTCTCTTGTTATATGTCATGAATCTCAATAAATGGTCATATATTGCCTTCCCCTTCCTCGGAAAATTTAGGGAGAACATCAACATAAATGGAGCAGTATTCACCGAAAAAAAAACGAATTCATAGCCTTCTGTATCGTTAAAAAAACAGTAGAAATAACCACGTGAAATCCACGTGTCATTTTGAATTAGATAATTTCGGCTGGCCTACGAGTTAGCTGGGGCGAGCTTTCTGACCCCCTCGCCTGAACCCACGTGGGAACGGCAACATTCGATCTTCAGTTTTTCTCAAAACCAATTAACTTCTTTTTCAAGGACAGATATCTATCTTTTTTCGCTTATCGAATCTAAGTACCGTATCAATAATTTTTTGTTGCGATCACATTTTTACTCAACCAGTTTCCTCTTTTTCATCTTTTCCGCCTTCTTTGGGTCGCCAGAAAGTTCACGTGTTCTCTAATTTGTCGCTAGTAGACATTTTTTGGTCTTCCTATATTTTTAAATCATCGAATGACGACCGACTCAAGTGGAAATTCCATTGGATACCCCGCAAGCATTCTGAAGGATGTTCCAGCGCCTTATAACCCACCGTCAGCAACGGAAGTAGTGGAGAATAGGTAACTTTAAATGGCCTGACCTGGACCGACCGGGGTACCAGAATTATATATATATATATATTTTTTTTTAATTCTTTCTCAAATTGTACTTTTAAAAATGGGACCAACGTGCCCGGAATCCAAAGAAAAGTTCAAGAGTATTCTATAATAGAAACTGGTCCCAGTCTCGCCCTTAGTTGAAAACTTCAAAATATTTTCAGTTCTCCGACGTCTCCACAAAAGCAAACAGTTACCACTCAACCATCGTATGAACCGTGAATGGGATAAACGGTGGGTTTTCGGAAGATGCTCATAACTTGTCTCCTTTCAGGGAAGCCGTGTTCCCGGACAAGGCACCGTGTGTAGATTGTTGTGGTGATCGTTGTGCAGATAATTGCCGCTATTGTTGTGCAGGGTGTGTCGCCGGAATTCCTGAAATGATCATCGGATGCCTTAGGTCCTAAAAAATTGCAGCAAATTTTTTTTCGATTTCAACTTAAGGTTCTCAACCTTTTCTAATTCATTATTTCCAAGTCATGCCTATTTTTTTCTATGAACTTGTTTTTCTTCTTTTCATCTTCTTCTTTTTTTTCTCCTCCCCAAATTAAAACGTCTTCAGTTACGATAGTTCCATTTGATTCTTGACCATTCGTCTTTTTTTTTCAAATGTCGGAACCCACGAAAACTTCGCCCGGCTACCCAGCAGTTCTTCTCAATACAGATTCCCCAATTGTCAGTCAACCGGCACCGGACCCGCCGGCTGGGTATGCCTTTTTTCATTTTAAAATGAAGTAGAACATTTCAGGTACTACAACTTCGACACCGGTATCAAGTTGAAAGCTGCCGAGAGAGATTGGGGAGGATTTTGTACTGCTTTGTGTTGTTGTTGTAAATTTTTAAAGGCGTGTAGAGGAGTTTAATAAATTGTTGAAAATTTCCATTAGTGATTGAAATTTAAATTTTAATTAGTGATTGAAATGATTGGTTTTGAGGCCAATTTTCTACTTTTTAATTGATAAGGCAATTCAATTATTGATCCTAGAATAAATTATCAGAATTTCTGAAACTCCAAAAGCTAAAGTAGAAATCAACGGCGAGCCAATCACCACCCAACCAACTGCTGAAACTTCAGATGAGTGAGTTTTTCGAAATAAGGCTTTTATTTCGGTCGGTCCAAAATCGATGACCGCCGACCAACCGCCGACCCAACCGACAAACAGCCGAGCGATCCGCCAGCTCAGTCCGCTGTCGATTGGCTGGGTCGGCGGTCGGTTGATCGGATGAAATTCCCGCCCAAATGGAAGCCTTATTTTAAAATATTCCAGACTTCAATTTGAAAACTTCAGATACTACGATCCAACACCATGGAGTACAAACTGCTGTTCGATTCCAGAAGGATGCTGTCTGGATAAGTGTCGATGTCTCTGCTGTTGCTTATACTGTTGTACCCCTCGGCAATAAAATAATGTTTTATTATTGATACCTAACTCCACAAAAACTCAACTCAACCAACTAGGAGATGCAAAAACTGTCACCACTGCTCCAGTAGATTTCCAAGACGGAGATAATGCATAAGGCGAGAGTATAACAGCTGAAACAAATTGAGGTGACAATATAATAGGGGACAACGCGAATGGGGACAGTATCAATGGGTTCAGTGCCAGTGGGTTTAGTACCAAAGGTCCCATACAAAATGGACTTAATATTAGTGGGGTCATAACTTGGGGTGACAAGATAAACGGAGAAAAAATGAGAGGAGATAAAACGAATGGGTTCATGACACCTGGGCAAAGAATGAAAGGGTTGAATGCTAGAGGAGAGAGGATGATAGGGACCATGACGAATGGGTTAAGCACAACGGGAGAGAAGATTCGGGGAGAGAGGATCACGGGTACCATAAGCCAAGGAGATAGGATCATGACTCCGTATATTGCAGGCGATCCAATAAGAGAGACGATTAGGATTGGAGAGAGGATGGTAGGTTGGGAGACGGACTGAAAATTAGAACTTTGAGAAATAAATTCAACAAAATGAAAAAAGATTTCTCCCCGGCCGAGAATTGAACCCGGGTCTCGCATGTGACAGACGCGGAGACTCACCACTATACTACCGTGGACACAATTGGAAAGAGACAGCAATGACAAATGAAAAGAGTGAGACCCGTGGAAAAAAGAGACTTACCACTGGATCGAAAACAAAGTTGGTGAATGTAACAGGTGACAAAACAATATCATTCCTTCGCGCCTCGAATTTTATTTTCTCTTTCGCCAAGTCTCCAATAGTTCCCATGATGTTTCTGTCGATTTCAGACCGACTCATTCCCTTGACTCTGTTCAAAAATTCTGGATTCTTATGAACCGAATTGTTCCCATAAATCAGTTCCATTTGATCATGCCGCATGATTGTATACCCAGTTCGATTCATTTCCCGAAGCTGCTCCATCGAAAAAGTCTTATCCAATAATTCAAAAGTTTCAATCTTTCTCGCTTCCAATGGATATTTCTCAGTCACATTTTCTTTTGTAAAATACAATGGTTGCCCTTCAGGACCCCTTTCCGACTGAAAATTTTGCTCAATCTTCTGCTCAACTCGTTCCATAGCTTCATCAACTCCAGTAGCTTCGGTGATAAAGTCAAGAAGGTCTGATGTATCTTTGTTGGCCGTTAGAGACCCCAGCAAGTTTTGTAGGGACACTTCTTTCTCAATTTCTGATCCATCGTGATGAAGAGAGAATAGAGAAGGGGATAGGATGTCAATCTGGAAATTAATTGTATAAGGATTACTGTAGCCTGCACCCACCTCATCCTTCTTCTCGTCCTCATTCGCTGGAACCACACTCATCATCTTCGGACTAAAGATCCTTACTACCTTCCTGTCGAAATCCGTTGTATTCTGCCCTGCCATTGTCAATCCTAGTTTTGCTGCGCCTCTGATCAACCGCATAGGAATCAACATCATCCGATCCTGATCCGTTAGATTTCCAGCTTTCTTATGAACCATGGATTTGAGATTATCATCTCTGATATACTTTTCCAGATCCATTAGCTCCTGGGCGTCGGAATCATTGGGGTTCAGACCTTCTGCAGCTTCTGTGAATACGTTCATCCGTTTCTGGAACATCTTTTCCATTTCTTTCCGTTTCTTGATTTTTTGAGCCTTCTCCGAGATTCGAGTGATCGTATCTTCCCATCTGAATTATTAAAAAGGAATTTTCGAAGTCTCAGATAAAAGTTTCTTACTTGCTTGTGTTCCGTTTGTTCTTGATGATCCTTAATGTATGAGATAAATGTTTTGCCAAAAGGTGAATTCTCATTTTCTGACTTCAAAGAGTAGCTGGGTCGACTTTGAACCTTAATTTCTCTCTTCAATCTCCTCCTTCTCCTTTTCGATCTTCTTAACTTCAGTTTCTCATCTCGAATCTTTCTTTTTATTTCTGAAATTTCAAATTTCAAAATTTGAAGCTTTCTATACAGTTCACATCAGCTAACGTATTCGCTCTAATAGAAACACACCCTATATGAACTCTTCGAGCTCAATTATCTCGGTTCTTATGAGAGATATCAAAATCTTGTCAACTGGTAAAATGTTGGGGATGTTATGATAAACATTTTATTTTTTCAGAGGAAGCGAGATAATTGCGCTCAAAGTGAAAATACGGTATTTTTGGAAACTCACTTCGATTAAAATATTTTCTCCTGCGCCTCAATAAATTTGTATGTGCATCCTTTTCCAACTCCAATAAACATTTTGCATGCTCCCATATTGTTTCTGCCTTGGATGCACATTTTTGATGAGCCTCTTGTTGATATTTCTCAACCAATGGAATCCTAAAAATCTTTTATATTTTTGTCGAATTCGCTCTAACTGACCTTCTAGTAGCAATTGCTGCGATCACTCCAGAGAACCCTTGTGTGCTCCAATGCTCCAACAGCTCTTCCCCGGATTCTGTAGACATATCCACGTGGAACGCCTTATCTTTATATTGGGGTGATTTGAGGAGTTGTTCTTTGGAGAGTCCATATTTTGTAACATCGATTTTTGATTTCGGAACGGAGTAGGAAATTTGAATAAATGAGAAAAAGAGTAAAAAATAATAGTAGTTCATAAGAGCAATGAAAACACAAAATGAGATCAGAAAGTTCAGACGCTTACTAGCCAGTTTATCAATGCTGACCCCATTATGGTGTTCGTTTTGACGCGTGGTGATAAGCGAGTAAGTCTGGTTATAATAAGGATTTTCACTTTTTTTTGTTATTCTTCATGTTGTCGTAGTAAATGAAATGATGTAATGAAAATTTCCGTCAGATCAAAATGAGATGAATCAGATATGGTGGCGGTCGACAGCGGTCCTACTTTTAATAATCTTTCTGGTAATACAGAACCTCTGATACTTCACCTAGTTTATTATTAATTCATTGTTTATTAAAAAAAGTTCACACTTCCTTTTGGGATTCATTGGCGATCCAACTGGACAATTGAATGCTTCAGCAAATGATTTCATGTTTGCCAACGGACCATTCACTCGGAAATTATCCGTCGGATGTTTCTGTTTGAGCTGAAGAGCTAACGAATGATGGGGTTTTGGTCCACACCAGTTCTGAAAATATAAGTTTTAGATGAGCAAATTATTGTTCTTCGATTACCACCACAACCAATTTTCATCATCCAATGAAAACAATAACAATCGTCCTCATTTGGATCTTAGCTCTCTACGCTGCTCTACTGATTGTCAAGAATAATGAAAAACCTCAAGAACCTTCAGCTACACTTTCAAGGTCAGTCCTAGAGCCCATCAAGCATAAAGGAGTATGCAAGTCTCCAGAATGTATCACTTTGGCTCATCAATTGGTATAAAAACTATTCTTTTTCATTATTATTCAAAACAATTCAGCACAACTGGCGGGATGTGTCTGTAGATCCTTGTCAAAACTTTTACAAAGCAGTCTGTGGCAAATACAACGAGCATTCTCTATATAACGAAGCCAGTCTTTCTCGAAACACAAAAATTGTTGCCAATGTTATCAAAGGTGATTATTTTCATTGTGATATGATACGAGAGATAGTGACTTCAGAATATCTTCACAATGATTTTTCATCCAGCTCCAAATCAGAAAATGCGATAAAACTTTTTTTTGACAAGTGTGAAGCGACAAAAAGAATGAATGTGAGGGTCTGAAAACGGTATAAGTTAGTTTACTGACATTTTTCAGCAGACATTGGTTACTCTGAATGAGAAGCGAGAGATTTTGAAGATGATCAAACAATTTGGTTCATGGCGGTTGCTCAGCAAAAGCTGGAACGAATCGGAGTTTGATTCGAATGGTAAAAACTTACAAGGGAGGTGTTTTTAAAAAGGCTTTCAGAATTTGCTGAAATTTTGTACCAAGGTACTTTCGAACATGCTGAAAAAGGTTTCAGCAATATCTCGGTCATAACCCTAACAGGAACCAAAATATGGGCTCTCAAATTGTTTCCAGTACTAAATTTTGGTCAAAAATGAGCATTTTTAGAGCTTTAAAAGTCTTTTTCCATGATTTTTTCAAATGCGAAACTCATTTTTGAACACATTTCTATCATCTAAAGTCGTTTTTAAACAGTTTCAAGAAAAAAATGTTTCGATTTTTTTCGGAAAAAATCCCCATATCCCCCCACACTAATTTTTGCGAATTTTTAAAATTTTTTTTGAAAATGCAGAAAAGTGCTTCACACGTTCAGAAATATGATGGAAACATCATTCTCACAAATTTTGGCAGCCAGATTTGGTCTATCAGCTCCAATGATTCTCCAAATATGATTATTGCTAGAACTTTGAAATGATCAAAATGTCTCAAATATTGCTGAAAATCAACTTAAATGTACAGACATGTATTAAAATCACATATGTGATCGATTTTGCAGAGTCTAATTTCGAAAAGACCATTTCTACAGTCAAAATATATTGTTTTTTAAACGATAGAATAATGTCTGGCCCGTCGAAAAATCCATGTTTTGAAATTTTTTTTTAATTTCAAAAGCCTTGTTTTTGGCATTTAAAAAACTAGGAAATTCATGAAAAAGTATAATTTGTATCTAGAGAACCAAAACGGATACAAGAAATTTGTTTCAAATAAAGTTTTACCACAGTGGGGGTCGAACCAGCAGATTCGCTCCTAATGAGTCACCCTCTTACCACAACACCACACAACCGACGTTTTCTTCTCACGCGGAGGGCGTATAGGAAAGAGGGGAAAGCCACGTCGAATTCGAGGTCAAATTTTCAGACGAAGATTTTCAGCTTTCTGATGAGAATGGGACCTAGGTTTATTTGTTATCGTGTAGAGGAGGTGTCAAACTATAAATACTGAAATTTTCAGCAAATTCCCAAAGCCTTTTTTAAAAACGTTCCCTTGCTAGTAATAACAGAAAATCAAACAGGTTTCCAGAAATGATGTCCAACATGGCAAAGCTTGGGGCATTCAAATTTGGGTTCTTTGAAGTTGACCATCTTAATACATATTTCGATGTGAATTCCGTAAATATGACTGCTGGGGAATTAGAAAAGGTTATTAAATTGGTCCAGTATCCACGTGTACATCGTAAAAGGGTACATCTAGTTCTCAGAAAACATTGGCTACTAGGGTGCATGGGGTTTTTTGGTACAGGTGTACCGATTTTTGATGTCACTTGGATCCTGGCCCTGTTTAATTTTTCCGAAAATAAACGTTTTCTTTCAGGATATTTTCGAGTTTTTGAAAGTGAATAATGTTTTGTTCGATTTCGAATCAGCTCGAAATGATGTCCGAAGTATTGCAAAACTAATTCATGATATGGCAGAGCTCTTGTCGTTAAGTGGAAATGTATCCGAAAGTGAACCGTCAAACTTCCTTTAAAGACTAAAGCGCAAGTAAACATGCAGGAGAAAGGAATAGACAAAATGCAAGGAAGTGTACCAAGTATTAATTTCGAACGAATCGCAAAAAATCTGTTCAACCCGAAACGGAAAGATGTGGTTTGGGAGAAATTGAAAACGAAGTTTTACTCGTTTCCCGGTCATCCATACTTCTCAAACAAAACTAGAAATGTGAGAAGCATTCCAGTTTCGTTAAATTCATAATCATCGTCTTCAGATTGAGACAGTTCTGAGAAGCACACCCAGAAAAACTTTGGCGAACTACCTGATCTATATTTTCATGAGAAACTTGAATGAACAAACCAGCGAAAAGACAATGAAGCAGGAAATTTGTGATGCGGTTACAAATATCCTATATTCCAAATTCAATAATTGATATTTCAGCATGTCATGAACATATTCCCGTTGGCCGCTCTACGCGTTTATGTTCGCAATCACTACGACAAGGAGAATCTGGAATTGGCTTCTGAAATGGTTGAAGAAGTTCGGGAAAACCTGATCGAAACATGGCTCCACGGGGCTTCATGAGAATACAAGAATGAGAGCAATTCGAAAAGCAGAGCTTATGAAGAAAGTGATTGGCTATCCACAAGAATTTGAATTTCCTGGAGCGTTAGACAGCTTTTTCGAATCTGTTAGTTTGATTAAATGAGCTATAATGGAATTCTTCGTTACAGGTAACCTTTTTGGACACTGGTTCTTACTTCACGACATTCAACAAAGCACTGAAACTACAAAAAGAGCAGTACTTTGATTATCACTGTGGAATTCTTTCAATTGAACCTACCAAAAAATATGTGACATCAGGAGCTTATTATCAACCTTTAAAAAATACTCTCAGTTTGTAGGAAATTTCAAAGAAGCTTACACGTCATCCCACTTTCAGCGTTATGGATTCCATTCATCGATGATCCTTACTTTGACTCTACCTATCCAAAATATGCGAAAATCGCGAGTATCGGAGAAGCTATTGGTCATGAAATGGGTCACGGATTTGATACGACGGGAAGGAAACGTGATGAAAATGGAAAAGAACATGATTGGTGCTCCCGAAGACTCGGCTGAATACGATAGAAAAGCACAGTGTCTGTTGGACCAATACAACAACTACGATGACCCAGATTTCGGAAGAAATGTTAGTTTGAAATACGGAAAATGTATATCAAAGCTAAAGTATTTCAGTTGAATGGATCAACGACTATTAAAGAAATGGCTGCGGACATAATTGGGATTTCTGTCACATTGAAAACTTACAACAAAGTAGATTTCGCTAATGAGCCCAGTATTTTCGGATTCGAAGATGAGAAACCGGACAAACTATTTGTCCATTTGACAGCTCTGGTGATTACAAAAATTAAATGTACTAAATTTTGCCGCTTTTCAGGGTTGGTGCCGCACTAGAGACACCACTCCACTAGCTACGCAATTTATGGCAGTTCATCCAACGAGCAGTTTCCGTGTGAACGGTATTTTTTCAAATATGAAATCATTTGCCGAGGCGTTCAATTGTCCAGTTGGATCACCAATGAATCCCAAAAAAGAAGTGTGAACTCTTTTAACTAGATCAGTGATTTCAATAAAAAATTAGTGTAATTTATCAACTACTCAAACGTGGTACTGACACGTGTTGCTACTTACAATCAGACATCCCAAACCAAGTATCAATATTCAGCTCAGAAATGAACATGGATACTGTAAGTGACTTGGAAAAATTATAGCTACAATGGATTCTCTAATTTCAGAAGATGTCAAACCGAAATTCTGATGATCACTCTTGTTTCTATCATCTGAAAAGAATTATCATTGTTTGTTTGATTGGTTTCTGTGTTGGCTACACTTTCGCATCTTTAATTCTGATGCCAAAAATTGCAAAAACTTCGAGACCGGGATTTCAGCAAAATTCTGCGCCTGTCAAACATAAAGGTGTCTGTAAATCTCCGGAATGTGTCACTCTGGCTCATCAATTGGTAAAAAACAGATATCTAATTTTCTAAACTTGCTGAAAATTGCAAATTTTTCAGCACAATTGGCGAGACGTTTCAGTTGATCCTTGTCAAGATTTCTATGAAGCGGCATGTGGAAAATATAACGAACATACCATATCCCTTGGTACCAGGTTGTTTGAAAAATCGAAGATTGTGAAAAATCTCGTCAAAGGTTTGTATATGATTTTTCTTGAAATTTCACAGAAATTTTATAGAATTCCTGGACAAAAATGAGCCATCTGAGTCGAAATCTGAGCAAGTTATGAAATGGTTTTATGGAAGATGCAAGGAGTATAATGCGCTCAATGTGGGGGGATTAAAAATTATTGATACAAAAAAAATGGATTTTCAGGAGACCCAAAATTTGGAAAATATGAGAATGGAGCAATTGAAATTGATCAGGAAAATTGGATCGTGGCCAATGTTGGATGGGAAATGGAAAGAAGAGGATTTTGCTTCGGTCGGCCGGAAATCGGCGACCGCCGACCGACCGCCACCAACATGCACAAGAGAGTGTTTACGCAGGCAACACCGATCGAACCACTGTCGGTCGACTGTCGGTCGACTGTCGGTCGACTGTTGACCGACGGTTGACCGACGGTTGGTCAGCGGTCGGTCGGTGGTTGGTCAGCAGGTCGGTGGGCGGTTGATTGGCCGTCAGTCGGCGGTCGGTCGGCGGCCAGTCGGCGGTCAATCGGCGGTGGGTCGGCAGGTCGGTCGGTCGGGGGTCGGTCGACGTTTGGCCGACGGTTGGTCGACGGCCAGTCGACGGTCGGTCGACAACCGGTCAGCGTGGTCAGTGGTCTGCCTCACTAGGGAAGGTTGTGAAGTTAGGTTGGAGTTTCGGGTCGAGACCTATGTCATTCGAAAGCTGAGAACACGCCCTTTCCGAATCTGTTTTCCGTTTTTGCTGCGGACCTACCAGTTTCGAGAAAAATAGGTTTTAAATTTGGGTTACTCTGGATTTTCTACTGATTTCTTCAATTAAAATGGGAATTTTGGATCGCGTGAGCACTAAATACTTACCTAAATACAATTGAAACAATAGAAAATGTTGGCTCAGTGGTCTAAATTTAAAACTTATTTTTCTCGAAACTGGTAGGTCCGCAGCAAAAACGAAAAACAGATTCGGAAAGGACATGTCCTCAGCTTTCGAATGATATAGGTCTCGACCGGAAACTCCAACCTAAGTTCACAACCTTCCCTAGTCAGATAAATCGAAACTTTCAGATATGTTATCTCAGATAACAAGATTTGGTGGTACGCGCTTGGGATTTTTCAATTTAATATTGACCAATGAAATTCTGTTCATTCATGATCCGTCTGGTATAACACAAAGTATAGAGGAAGTTGAAGAAGTAAGACTTTTCAATTTTTTTTTTGAAATTTTGGAAATATGCAAATTCAGGTTCTCATGGATATTGTGAAGTTGTCAGGGTCTCATCCGGATAGTAAAATGATTCAGAAGGATATAAAGGATTTGATGAAATTGAATGAGGAGTTGGCAGGGGTAAAATTGGATTTATAAATTCTTAATTTTGATAATAATTCAGTTCAACATAACTTCCCAAAACGAAGTTTCCGTGGGACAACTACAGGAACAAGTTCCAGTTTTAGATTTTCAAAGGATTATCAAAAACCTTTTCAATCAAAAAAACAAAGCTTTAATTTGGAATAAACTTCAGGAAAAAATATTAGGCCTCGCTCAACCGATATTTTTCAATGAGACGAGAAATGTAAAAATGTCATTAGTATCTGAGAAAATCCGTAAATTTTCAGCTTCAAAAAATCCTAGAAACCACTCCGAAACGAACACTTGCTAATTATTTAATTGCTAATTTAATAATGCGAATGTCTATGGGAAATCAAATATTGGATTGTGGAATGGTACCAAAAAAAATTTGCGAACTGCGAGAATTTTAAACATTTCAGATTGTGATTCGAAATCTTCCATTGGCCTCTTTACGAGTTTTCACCCGAAATCATTTTAACAAATTCAACCTGGATATGGCATCTCAGTTGGTTGAAGATATCAAAGAGAGCTTGAAGCAGACAATTCAAGAATCCACGTGGCTTCAGGAGGAAACCAAAAAGAGTGCACTTTTGAAACTAAAGCATATGAAAAAGACAATTGGATATCCGAAAGAGTTGGAGGTTCCAGGAGCATTGGATGTATTTTTTGAATCTGTTTGATTCTTGGAATTTCGGAAAAAAAATTAACAATAAATTCACATTTTCAGGTAGATATGTCCAACAAGGACACATATTTTGCAGCTATCCTTGAGATCAACAGATTCCAAACGGAGCAAACTTTCAATAACCTTGCTTCCCTTCTCCCTATGGTCCCCGATGTGAAATTATTGGACTCGAATGCATTCTATCACATGGATGAGAATCATTTGAGTGAGTTTACTAAGCCACCAGACTTCATGGTCCCTGCAAAAAAAAAACTAAAAATTCAGAGCTGAACGTTGCGATTCTGGATGATCCATTTTTTCATCACCTATCCGACATACGCCAAAATAGCAAGTATCGGAGAAGTGATTGGACATGAAATTGGGCATGGATTCGATACGGATGGCCGGAAACGAGATGAGAAAGGAAAGAAAAGAGATTGGTGGACACCCGAAGACTCCAAGGAATATGACAGAAGAGCTCAGTGTCTCATTGATCAGTACAACAATTATGATGACCCGGATTACGGTAGAAATGTGGGATTTTTTTCTGAATTTCTGATGTTCTGAATTTCTGAATTTTGGAACTTTTGAACTTCTGAACTTCTGAACTTCTGATTTTTGTGGCTAGAGCCTACAGTAACATTTTTATTTCAGCTAAACGGTTCAATGACTATCGATGAAATGGCTGCGGACCAAATCGGTGTTGAGCTATCCTGGAAGACTTATAATCGAGTGGATTTCTCGTTGGAGCCCAGCATTTTTGGATTTGAGGATGAAAAACCGGACAAACTATTTTTCCATTTGACAGCTCTGGTGAGTCCGAAAAAATGGTATCAATGCTTCAATTTTTTTAAAGAACTGGTGCGGTCCAAGACCTAAGCGTCCACTATCTTATCAACAAGAACAAGTACAAAAGCGTTTGCAAAAGCGTTCAACTGTCCGGTTGGATCGCCGATGAATCCGGAGAACAAGTGTGAATTATTTTGATGTACTGTACTTTATTTGAAGCTCTTAAAATATTCGAAAATAAGAATTAATTAGTAAATGTTCAGTTTGTAATAGACACAGTAGTACTTTTCATCCGGATATCTCTTCGATGTTCCAATGCTTCAATATTCATAAGTGTTTCAATAACTTTGTATTAAAGGTACTGATTATCTGGCATGATAGGACTGAATAAGATTCGACATTTTTATTTGGAAAAATATTTATGTTGAATAAATGTTCATAGTTCCAACATATCTTTCAGATCATGAGCATGCATTCCCGCCACTAAAGAAGATCCACCATCAACCACAATCGATTGTCCGATGATATAGGATGCACGTTTACGATCAGCCAGGAATACAATCAATTCTGCGATGTCCTCCGGTTTTCCCAATACTCCAGCAAGAATACACTCTTTACGAGAGACGATAAAAGCTTCGGCCTAAAAAAAGACTTTCTTCAAAACAGAAATCTGTAATACCTCACCTTATCCTGAACTGGATCCGGTAGTCCCATTGCATTCATGAATCCAGTGGAAACTGCTCTAGGATTGACTTCATTGACACGTACTCCATATTAAATCAAATCAATAGCCACACAACGGGTGTATTGGTCCAAAGCGGCTTTGGCAGATGCGTAGTATGGAGCCAGGGATAACTGAAAGACAAAAATTTCTGTTCAAACGGAATTTCAAAATAATACATACCGCTTGTGGTACTGAAGCAATACTGGACACCAGACATGAGCGGAATTCCTTATTCCTTATTCCTTATTCCGGGTGTTTTTTCTATTCCTTATTCCTTATTCCGGATTTTAAATTTTTCATTCCTTATTCCTTATTCCTTATTCCTGATTTTTAAATTGTTATTCCTTATTCCTTATTCCTTATTCCTGATTTTTTTTGTTATTCCTCTTCAAAAATTTAAAAATTTTTCTATCAAAAATCAGAAAAAAAATCTCAAAACTGGGAAAAAAAATTTGAACGCTCTAAATTGCCGCGTAAAATTTTGCTCAACGGAGCACCTTTGCACCGTTTTTCGAAATTTTTTTTTTTGGAAATCTTGGAAAAGTTATGCGTTTTTCTCAGTGTTTTTTTCGAAATAAATTTGGTTTTTACAATTACTAAATACTTCAGAAAAAATGTCTAAAAAACCGAGCAAGTTTGACGAATTCTTCGTCAGAACAGAAAACGAGGCAACTTGTAAAGAATGACGCGAAAATTATTTGGACAAAAACGAGTGGAACGAATTCTGCTTCTTATCATTTGAGCAGATATCATCCGAAATTAGATGAAACGGTTTTTTTTGTCAATTTAAAGTTTCCAGGATTAAAAGCCAATATTTCTATTTATCGAAAGGACTGGATCTGTTGGTGGCGAATTCGGAAGAACGAGTTAAATTCCTTATTCCTTATTCCTTATTCCGGGTGTTTTTTCTATTCCTTATTCCTTATTCCTTATTCCGGATTTTAAATTTTTCATTCCTTATTCCTTATTCCTTATTCCGGATTTTAAAATTGTTATTCCTTATTCCTTATTCCTTATTCCTGATTTTTAAATTTCATTCCTTCTTCCTTATTCCTTATTCCGGATTTTCAAAATTTTTATTCCGCCCATGTCTGCTGGACACATTAACAATTTCTCCCTTTGTCTTTATCAAATGCTCCTTGGTCTTCTTGATCATTTCGACGACCGCTTGGAAGTTCAATTGAAATGTTTTATGGTACAAATCCATAGATTGATCGGTGCACATGGTTCCGTCAACGATGTTAGCGCCAGCGTTGTTAACCTGAAAAGTTAATCAGCTGAAAATCGGAAAGTCTAGAAAAATAAGACTAGCTCCGAGCAATTTTCACAGTTCAGATTGTTTTTAACCAATTCCTTCCTAATAAGCAAACAGCTATTTAGAAACTAAGATCATACATAATTGCAGCTGTTCGCATGGTCCTTCTCTATTTTTATCAAGTTTTTGGTCTCAGCAACGTTTATTTTATTCCACAATTAGCAATCTTCGAGAATACTCGAAAAAGTAAAAAATCATGAAAAAATTTAAACACAGGTGATTCGCGAACAATCCGTTACGGACGGTCAGCGTTCGGGCGTGGTCGAAATAGGGACCGCATACGGACCGCACGCGACCCGTTTTCAGAAAACTACAACACATTTTACCGTATTCCTCCGTATTCTGTCCGTTCGCGAACTCCCTATCCGATCCGCTTGCGAATGATGAACAAACGGATCCGTTCGCGAACTTAAAAAGTAAGATCATATATAAATTCCAAACATTTCAGAAATATCAGTAATATCAGATTAAATGTTCGAAAACAAAATAAATTAATTAGCAAAAGTTCCTGTTGTGATCGAAACAACAGTTCTTTTCATGCTGCTATCTCTTCGATGTTCCAGTGCCAGCGAATCAGTTCTTTCTCTTTTAATAGCAAAGAAATTTCGATAATGTGGCACAAAGAGCATGTAAGAAAATGGAGACAGGATTGGAGAGCACATGAAAACCAAAGAAATCATATAATCCAAATACTCTTGTTGCACCCATCCAGAATACTGTAGGGCGAAAATTGTGACCCCCGTGAAGATGAAAATTGGGAGGAATACTTGAAAGGTGATTATCTGAATGTTTAAATGTATGTTAGTACGTGCTTTGCTCTCAAACCTTCACAAGAACCCGATTCAATTTCTTTGTATCGCTTGTGACCGCCCCCATCCGGAGGGAATAGTTTAATAAAACATCTCGGAGCCAAATGTAGGTCAAGAGCACCAAGAATGCAGTAATTGCCAATTGAACAAACACTGTTATGGTAGAATAATAGATCAGAGATCCTGTTAAAATAATGTTAGGAGCTTCATCCAATCCCAATTCTTCCGGAGCAATCGTATTGGTTTTCAGGTTGAAGAAACTGATCCAGGTAGTCATATGGAAGAAAGAAGGAATAGAGAGACAGAAAGCAGTAAGGAATAGAGTTCTGGCTTTTGGATCACGGACATAAAGGATGTAATAACGGAAGATGTAGGAGCAAATCATCCAGATGAGGTTGTGTTCCAGGAAGCAAGTCATGAACATGTGGCCAGCATAACAAGCAACAGGACCAAAGTAGGTGCAAGGACCCGAAGGGATCAGGAAGACATGGATACCATCGGTGACGATTCTGGAAGAGAGACCACATACTCAAGGCCAGTGTGAGATTTTCGTAACTTTCTCAGCATTATTTTCCTAGGCCGTCCTAGTCGATGTTCCATAAATGGTCTCACACTCGCCTGGTGTGCTTTCAAACCATGGTGACCTAGCTTTTGCAAGTTAATTTCTCTAGACCACCAACTTTTACGGCCTAGAAACGGCCTGATGTTAGCACGTAAAATTCCTAGTAAATTTTACTATGGTGGCCTAACTTTTGAAAGTGGATTTTTCTTGGCCACCAACTTTTATAACTTTTATGGTATAGGAATGACCTAATATTTACCTGGAGGGTTTTCACTGCTATTTCAATATGGTGGCTAATATTTTGCAAGCTGAGTTTTCTCGGCCATCAACTTTAAAGGTTCGTTCGGTCAAAAATTCTTTCAAAAACTGTTAGAACGAAAAATTTCTTCCGAAAAACTGGCCCTGCTTCAAACGACCTTCAGACCACTATCTACAGTAGTCCCCTATCAATCACCTCATCATTACAAAAGCATTAATCAACGATGTCATGATATCCGTAGTAGTTTTGATTGTGATTACCACCGAACACAACCGCATGATTGGTGGCGACTTGGTCAACGCCAGGAACATCATAAAGGCATTGAATACAACACCCAACGACGAGAAAATCGTATGTATCACCTGATACGACATTGCTCACAAATGAGCAAAACTCGACGATTCTTTAGTAGTCACTGTGCCACTTGTTTTTACAGGAAATTGCTATCTTTCGCTTTTCAAATTCTTTTCTCTCTCTTCTAGACACATTCCCATTTCCTTTTGTCTAGCTTATTAGTAATTGACTATCGAAGACCATCTATTCGTATTAACTACGAAATGATTCAAGAGCTCTTATCGGTTTCGGTGTCTTATGGAGTACGATATTGATTTATGCAGCGTTGACAAAAAGTCCAGCTGTGATGAGACCATGTGTTATCATTATTGTGATAAAATGTTCCACAGATCTTGTTGCTTCGATTTTGAACTGTTTTTTGAGTGAGAGGTAGGTTCAATAGTCTTTCAAAGCTCATGTAATTTTCTAGGCTTGTCACAACCGGCAAAAATTTTTATATTATCTCCGAGGGTTTTTGTCGGTTCACATCTTACCAAACCTGCTTCTCTAGCCATATGCTTTTGGTCAGCTTGATCCAACAAAACCTAATTTGGCTCATTTGCTCATACATCTTCCGATATTACATCCTACACTATCATGACCCATCCCTCAAAACTTTTCTATTCTCTGCAATCCTAGCCTACATCCCTTCATTTGCTCACTCTATCTACTGGATTATATATTGTTATATCTGGCTTCTTGATTCGGAAAAATATTCTCCAAAAATGTTCACAAAACCCGAAGATCTTGCTATGGCGGGAAGTGTCGTTCATCAACCTAGCCAAATTACATTTTTCGTACTTTCGGTGTTATCAGTTCTCGTGTTTTCAGTTTATGTTTGGATCAGTCGGGAACTCGCGAAATTTTTGAACGAGAAAACTTCGAGATTATCGAAGATAGCAATCATTTTGAACACTCAGCTGGTGAAGGTTGGTAGGAAAAAAACTACTGTATTACCCACACTTTCCAGTTTGAGCAACTTTTTCTTAGCTCCTATGGAAGATATGAAATAGCGGTCAACTGATAAAAATGTCTGTGATTATATGATAAACAATTTATCAGTTGATAACTTTTTATATTTTTGACAGAAACCGGAATAAATTGGCTCAAAGTTGAAGGTTTCACATTAACTTTCTAAAAGTATAATTTCCAGGCCATTCACTTCCAATTCCTGATACCTTTTCTAACCATATCCGGAATATCAACACTATATATGATACATTATTCTTTGATTGACCCTATTCAAATCCAAGCACTTCCATCAATATTCCTGTCAACTACTATGAGCATTTTCCCGATGAGCTATATCATTTTTATGCCTCCTTACTTCAATTTCTGTTTTGGAAACCCGAAAAAAGAAGCCACTCGATTGATCAAATCTAATTTGAAAATTGGGTCTACTGTAGTTGTAACAGTGCAATCTACTACTGGTGTTTATCCATTATCACATAATACGATTTGAAACCATTCTTATAATAAATAAATGAAATTGTGTATCTTTGTCTCTCTGTTACTTCGTCCGCACGTTTTTGAAAAGCTTGAAAGTCAAATATTAGGTTGGCAAGAAAATAATGGTTGCTTTTATGATCAATTAAAACTATTATAAAAAAGAAATTAGACAAGATTAATTCAAAAGCTGTTTGCCATAATTATCAACTACTTATCGCCAACGTCCGGGCAAAGAATGGATTCCGCTGTAAAAGAACCCCACTGGCTACGACTCAAAATAGGCGACTACCGATTTTTTGGTCTTAACGCGGCTTTCGAAGTGGTTCTCGGCTAATGAGGGTCTCATCGATCTGAGTAAGTGTAAATCGGAAGGTGCCCAATCAGGGCTATTTGGCGGATAAGGGAGAGCTTCCCAGCCCTATTCCTCGATTTTCTGCTGAGTGACTTTTGACACATGCCGACGAGCATTATCATAAAGGAATTTCGTCGCTGGTGTAGTCAGACCTTGACGTCTTAACGCCTGCTGCATTTTGCCCAATTATCGTTGGTAGAGTTAAGTAGTGGCCGTTAGACCTTTTTCCAGAACTTCAAAAAATACAAGACCCTTGCTATTCCACTATTCACAAAGCATCACCTCATGTCCGTGTATCTCTGGTTTTGAGTTGTTTTGGCCGGTTCTCCGGGGGTAACCATTGTCTTTTTCAAGTATATTATTGTATTGAATCAATCAGATTGAATTCACATCACAGGCACACCCTCAAGCGCATTTTTTTGAATGGCATTTTCAAAACTAAATTTCCTTTTCAAAAAACAGACTAAACTACTGAAGTTATATATGAAACGATGCGCAATGAAACGTTCTTTCGAATAAAAAACAGTGTATCGAAAAATGTTCACTGGAAAGCAAAATACGTTTTGACGAACTCGCCACTCATTATTTTCTTGCCAACCTAATATAAATTGACGTGTCATTTTAAAGGTGGGGGGACATGAAAAAAATAAATTTCTCGAAATTCCGTTTTTATACGCCCCTCGTGGAGTTGAACTTGTGGGGGCGAGGATTGAGGGTGCGGCGCCGCTACCGACTGAGCTACGCGGGAAAAGAAAAAGCGGCAGCCAGATTGCATACATAAAGGCGCGGACGACAGCTGTACGCGGAGTGACATTAAGCGTTGTACACCGTCACGGTAGAATACATACTCTGGCCCCAAAAATCCCCCGTAAAATCTCCTGTCCCCCCACCTTTAAGAAAGAAAGAGAAGCGAAGCGACGAACCAGTAAAAATAGGTTGAGTCGCGCCGACGGGCACCAGCCAGCGTTTTGAAGCGCCGCAGGCACGGCAAACATGCTGGTGTTTTTAAATAATAAATAGTTTATTTTCTCAAAAAAGTAGCTTCTCGAGTCTTGCAATCGGCACTTCAAACATCAAGCTCTAAATCGAAGCAGCCGGGAGACAAAGGATTACTATAGGCATAGAAACAGTGGAATTTGCTTTTAGAAATTCATATTTTCTAACTCTTACCTTCCATAGACCATATCCCAATAATGTTCCACTGACCGCGAAAAACGTCTCAACTGAATAAGCAGCGTCTAGCATTAAATGAGTCGCTAGCTTTTTCCGATCTTCCACCATTGCTTTCACCGTATTCCCCATAAGAAAGTTAACAGAAGAATGTCCGATAATAACCCCTGACCAGAACTTCAGAAAATCTGCAGATTTTATCCGGGCGACCTCCTTAGTTCGTAGGATCAGTTTGAAATTTGAGTACATAGAAAAGCAGCAAAGGATCCGGAATCTCAAATCTTTGTCATCAGTGTCCACCAGATAATAGTCTAGGATAGTGCCCACAAAGACAATGAAGATTACAGTAGTTATGAAAAACGCGAAAACCCAAAACGAGAAGGTATGCACGGTTTGCGGTTTCTTCACACAAAAAGTTTCACAAGCAGTGAGAGAGAGGGAAGAGTAATTTGATCTTCATAATAAATCCTTTTTCGATCCCCATTCTTCAAAATTATCTCGACTGCGCTCTTGGAGATCGATGACAAATCCATTAGGAAGTTTTAACAGAAAACAGTCATCCTCGATTTTTTTGTAATTGATTGCAAGCTTTTTGAAGAAAAGATAGAAGGTACTGTGCTGAAATTTCATAGTTTAAAAATTCGAAACTTGTGGAATAAGCTCACCTTATTTAAAATTTTCAGATAATTAGTTGTGAATTTATTAAACCTTAAATCTAATTTTCGGAAATTGGGGGTTTTTCGAAATGTTGTCTAAAAGTTCTTCTAGTTGAATCAGGCCTTCCCCAAGTTCAAATACAATTACTGCATCTTTTAAAACGCTCAAATCCAGTTGATTGAGAATAGAAATCAAATGAGCAACATCCGAGAGCTCCAAAAATAAGCTCACGACTCGAATCTTGTAATTCCTTGATTTCAGTAAATGTTCCAATGTTTCAGAAATCATGGAGACAATTGCCACCAGTTTATTCGGTCTGTAATCCTCATTCCTATTGTCCACACGATCGAATTGAATAGCAAAGAAAGGTAAAAATGATTTTTGATGCATGATAAATTCCTCCAAGTCTTCACAAAAAACGTTCACAAAGTTGTCATCAACTTGGCTGTTTTCTGTTAAATGACTGTTTTCTGTTAAAACTTCCTAATGGATTTGTCATCGATCAGGAGAAACGGTGTATATTTTTGGAAACCGAAGAAAGTTCAAATTTCAAATCAAAGCATAAAACTCCTAAATCAACAAAACAATTGACTTACAGTGATCTATATTTTACTATAACAATGACTTTTTCAAAAAATTTCAGAAACTTTACATCCTTTATCACACTTGGTCCCAAGTGCTTCAAAATCCTCTGATAATGCAAAAAATAACAAAACACTTGTCTTGCTTCGATATGTGAGTCTTGAAAATTTTTGCTCTGTAACTCTTTTTTTTTTCTAGTCAACGACTCCGAAAAGTTTCAAAAAGTATTAGAGATGTAATCGATCTTATCAAATCGGATCCAAATATTGTGGCAGTGTTGATCTCCAAGAGCGCAGTCGAGATAATTTTGAAAAATGGGGATCGAAAAAGGATTTATTATGAAGATCAAATTACAATGGGAAAGACCTCGGGATCAATTTGAAGCATCAAAAGACATATTTGAAGGAATTACGATTGGATTTTTTGCATATGGAACTTCTGGAAATCTTCAAGAATACCCTAAAACTGAGAGAAGCGCCTTTGAAAGTTGAAAAACTGACGATGAACCAACCAGAACTTCTGGAAATTGTGCCTAGACTCTGTGGTCTCAAATCTATTGAAATCAAAGGCTCAAATCAAGACAATTCTGAAATTTGTCTTGAAAAGTTCTCAGAAACTGAGCAGTGGGGAAATGCTGAAAATCTTATAATCGATTCGTCTATAACCATCGGTTGCCCTGTCCAAAATATTAACATTTCAAATTTCAAATTCGTCAATATTACGGTCAAAACTTTGACAATAAACGACATGGTTTACTTGAAACAGGTAGGCGCTTTTATTTTCATTGTTGCATTTATTTTTGAAATTTGAGAATTTCAGATTTATCTTCAAACGACTGCACCAAAGAAGTTCAAATTCAATTTTTGCAACAGTGACTTCGATTATAACCTGCACAGTTTCATTGGTAGCCTATACGCCCATATCCCTGGAATCAGAACCATCTGGTACTTTCAAAAAGCATCCTGTGAAAAATGGCTTCATATAATTCTTCATGAACAAAAAACCGTGATTTTTCAATAGTGCAACGCGATTTGATTCCCGAAGGAGTGTCGAAAACCGGCTAATTTTTTGTACTCAATGTCTTTTTGAAAATGTTATTGCAAATGTGTATAGTCAGAAGACAAACCCTGAAATATGAAGCTATTTTAGAATTTCCAAATTTTATTTATTATGTTTCAACAAAAAATGTCAGACAAAGAGATCGAAGAAGTCAGAAGATTATTTCTCCTTCCAGACCGAGACGTTTTTCTCCATTGAGATGGTTGGTGCTTCCCAAGTGTAGACCTTCTCCTCGTTTACTTTTGGGCCAAAGTTCATGTTGGAGACAGTGTTCTTCCATTGGTTGACGCCATGAGTCTCCGGTGTTGGCCATTGGACATTGTCCCAGTTGAGCTGAAAACTTGTAAATTGTGCTTATCATTTTTCCTCATATATAAAACACTAGAGGCGTCTGTTGATACTCGTGTTACGCTGTCCGGTCTTGAAAAAAGCTTGAAAAATAATTATAGATTTACGTGACCCTTTAAGAAAATGTGAGGAGCGGAGCGACAAATAGTAAAAACTGGATCGATTCGCGCCGAAGCCGCACCAGCCAGCAATCTGAATCGCCGGAGGCGCGGCAAACAAATGGCTGGTGTTATATATTTTTTGGTATACCCCTCGTTTTGACCGCCACACCTTGCACCACCAGCTGGTCGCACAGCTGGCTCAGCTGGCTCAATACGACACCTCCAGCGTTGTCTCCACAAGTTCAACTACTCGAGCGGCGTATATAAACGAAATTCAGGAACTAACCCATCTCTCATAGAACTGCCCATTGAACGGAGTCGTCACCTCCACCCCGTTCATCATAACCCGCTTTCTTGGCTTCGTCGCCTCGATCATCGTAATTCGATCGTTCAACATCTTCGCCACGTTGATCTGATTGACCTCGTCTTGTTTTTGCTTAAACCAAGAACCTCATATTTTTTCAGGGCCTTTTTATTTTCCAAAAACTCACACATAGCATGTGCATGTGATACTGTTCAGCTTCACGAAGCGTTGGGAAGATCATGATCCCGCTTGGGACAGGCTTTCGGCACCGAGGACACATGGTAGGGTCATGGATTGAGCAACCTTTTTGGACCCTGGATAATGATTCTTTAAAATGTATAATTGGGGGATGAACTAACCAGAAGTATCCACATTCAGCATGACGATAGACAAGATACTTCCAGCTACGGGTGTAGAACTCCTGGATGTTCACGTGAGTGGAGGACATGGTACCTGAAGCGGTTTACTGTATTTGATCTAGTTGAAGCTTACCCTATATGTGCACAAAAGAACCGAGATAATTGAGCCCCAAGAAGTGAGCTACTATTAGAACGAATACGGTAGTTCATTGAACATTTTATTAGTTGTATGAGCTTTCTCCATTTGTTTATCACCCCCTTCTGAATATTTTTTCGACTTCTTCATACTTCCTAATGATTATCAACCCGTTTCACTGTTTATCGCACTTGCATACACACATACACATTTCTAATGAGAGCACTACTCTCTTCTTCTCCAACAGCTCACACTCATTCATTTGTCTTGTTATGTTCTACGTGCGCGCTTCTAAATTTCTTCTTCTTATTCTTTTTTCTTGGTTACTATGGAGACGTTATCTTTCCTAACACTTCTTATTTCTAGATGGACCGACAGCCAACTAACGCGTCGTTTGGCTCAAGCTCTGGAGGATTTTGTGAGAACGACGTCGTCGGTAAAAAAGGAAAAATCAAAAAGGATAATGAGGAATCGGAAGAGGAGAATGAGGTGTCAATGTTGTACTCGTCGACAAAAGGAGGATTCGGATGCAAGTACTACTATCGAGTGAATCGAGGAGCGGAGGATGAGCAATAAGGATATATAATCTGTATAAATGAGATCTCACAGTTAATAAAACTCTGAATTTTTTGTCTTAATTGTAATCATATCATGAATGACGTAAGAAGAGTCTGTCCAAAATGAGCCAAAAAACAGTTAGACACACCGTAAACACTCTAATAGAAGGCCACCCTTTACTTCCAACTTTGATCCAATTTACCTTGGGTTTCTGTGAAAGATATAAAAAAGTGATCAACTGATGAAATGTTTTTGATCTTATGTTAATTATTTTGTCAGATGACAACTTTTTGATACCTTTCTGAAAATGATACCGAAAATGAGATATATGGGTTCAAAGTTACCTATCAGAGGGTAGCGTTCTATCCGAGTTCTTACGGTATTTTTAAGAAAATTGTTCCCTAAACTTTCTGGAGCTACTGAATTTTTTGAATATTTAGAACAAGTTTTCTATAATTTTCTGGAATTGCTCGAAATTTTGGTGTTTCTGAGTTAACCTAAATTTCTGGCTAGTGAAGACATTTTTGAATAATTTGGATTATCCGAATTTTCTAGAATTTTCTGAAATTATCTAGAATTTTCTACACTCCTGGAATTGCGAGAGGTCGAGAATTTTCCAAACTTTCTCATGTCAAGAATTTTCGAATTTTTAGGGTTTTTGAACTTTTTAGAATGTTCCGGAACCTCCAAAACGCCCTGGATCTGGAAAATTTTCAGTTCCAAAGCTTTCCAAAGTTTCTGAATTGTCATTCCTATTCAAATTTTTGAATATATCTGAATTTTTTGGAATTCGCTGAACTTCTAAATTTCCAAGGTTTCTTATAATTCCCTTATTTTCTGGAACGTCAATTTCTAAAGTTTTCTCACGAGTTCTCACAGCTTCGTGGGTAAAAATCAAAAATTTCAAAAAAAAAGTTGACTATAACAAATTGTGCTCACAACAATAAAAACATCTAACAAGCTAATCCAATTCTCCGAATCGGGACATTCAGATATCCCAAGAAAGAGTTCCGTGGGTTAATTGGTTCCGGACATCCAGAAAACTAAGCGTCGGTGAAACCAATCAAATTGGGAATCCCACCGATCTAACAAGAACCCCCAGAACATTACACCTCGAAAAGTCAAAAAGCTACAAATGGAGAGGAGCGAAATTTCGAAAAAAAAAATTGTTAGAGTGACAAGTCACCACATCTCCTTTCACATGAGCTCCCTTCGCGGCTTGCCTAACTGATAATTATTGCTCAGAATTTTCACTTTTTCGCGAAATTTTTTCGAGAATGCTGAGAAAAATGTTTAATGAGAGGTTATGAGAAATTTTGAAAATGATGTGGGAGAATGTGGTTGCTAGGGTGAAAATAGCTATTTATGTGAAGGGTGATCTCCACATGAGTATTTCCAAAGGAATAGGGAATTGGGTCAATATTATTGTAGATGGAGGGCCTTGTGGGATTATACAGTGGATGGTATTTATGAAAAAAATATGGGGTTTAATTATGATTCAAAGGACCTGGTGCGGAAAGTGATATTTGGATATACAGTACCGGCCAACAAAATATACAAAACGTGCTTTTCAGTTGATCTTGACCAGTGTCAGGAGTCTGTTGCTCGGGTGTCGAATATTTTCAAAATGTGGAAGGTTATAAAACAGACCTAGATTGAAAACTTTGCATTCTCAGATTTTTTTTAAATCTCTAGTTTTTCAGCAAGTTGGCGATTTCTGAAACATACCTATTTTCACGTTTTCAGTAAAAAACAAGTCAACAAGTGTGTCTCTCAGAAATCGTCAAATAGCTGAAAAACTAGGAGCTTTCATAAAAATGCTGTAAATGTAAAGTTTTCAATCTCCTGTTTCACACTCTTAAGAACTCTCTCCACTTCTGAATTTATGAACTTTCGAATATCCGAACTTTTGAATTTCTGAACTTCTGAATTTTCGAATTCAGGAGTTTCTTTTCGGATGGTTTTCTTCAATCACAGTTTGCCTTTGAAAGTTACATGTTTTGTTAAAAGACCAGCAGATTCAGCCTCAGCGAGGTTTTCTGCCAACTGGTTGACAATAATTTATGTAAAGTCCATGTTTTGGAATAGAAATTGAGAAAACCAAAAATTCAAAAGTTGACAACTTCGCTTTTAAAGTCTCCCGATTTTCGAAGTGTTTCTCAATTTATTTTGAATTCCCGTCATGTTTTCAATACCAGCCTGTTTGCCGCGACACTGGCGCTTCAAACGGCTGGCTGATGCGCCTTCGGCGCTTCGCGGCTAACTTTTAAAACTTTCACGTCAAATTATTTTTAATTTACAAGCTTTTCAAAAATGTGTGCGCAGAGTGACAGGAAAATAAATAAAGAGACGGAGCTTCATTTATCTTCCTTATCATTCTTATAATAAACCAGCAAGCTGGTGCGCCTTCGGCGGGATTCAATCTATTTTTTTTTAATGTTCGTCGCTTAAAATAAAAGGGTCACGTAAATATATATATATATATATATATGTATTTTTCAATTTTTCAAAAGTCCACAGACGGACACGAGGACGGACAGACGCCTCTAGATCAAAAGTCCACAGATCCTCATCAGGACGCCTCTTTTTTAAAAGGTCACGTCAAATTTTATTGAATTTTTAAGCTTTTTAAAATGTTCGGACAAAGCCACAGAGAAAGAGTCGCAACTTCATTTATCTTCCTTATTAATAAAACGAAAACATAAAATTAGATTTACGAAACCCTTTAAGAAAAAGTGAGGTGTGGAGCGACGAACAAGTGAAAAACTATTAATATTAAAATTAACTATTAATAGATTGAATCGCGCAGAAGGCGCACCAGCTTGCTGGTTTAGTATAAGAATGATGATATTTCTTTTTTCACTTTTTTAAAAATCACCTAAACGGGAAAGCCGATATTCAAAAAACGTATTGAAATTTTCTAGATTTTTCCAAAAATCAGTTTTCATTTACTTTTAATTCTAAAAACTTTCCTAACTATATTTTTTTCCTTTAATTCTATCTTTTTTGAATCGATTTTCCACTTTTCCTAATTTTTCAGATTGGTCCTCGTCTCACTTGTTTTTGTTTTTTTGTTTATCGCACTTGCATACACACATACACATTTTTTTTACTTCAAATGCAGAGATCCATATTTATTATTTTTCCATAAAATTTGAATTCTTTGAATTTCAAAATTGGTAGCATATTTTTCACTTCCGTCTGTCTGAAAAATTTGACTCCATCAAAAATATTTTTCTTCATTTTTCCCCGTTTTCATATTAAAGTTATGCCTTCTTCCGTCTGTTTGGTTTGTCAACGTCAAACGACTTTTTTCAATTAGGGGGTAATAAAAATTACGGTAATACCTGTAATGGATAGTCCCTCTAACTGTTAACTCTGGGCCAACTTTACTCAGTTCCTGTCAAAAATATTTTTTGAAAAACTTGTCAACTGACACATTTTTTTATCATAACTTCACGAATATTATCAGTTAAACCATTTTTTAGGAGTCAAGAAAAAAACTGTAAGGGCCCTTCTATTACAGGTTTTACGTTAAGTTAATTGCTTGTACCCTCCAAAATTTACAGATCCCCTCTTGCAATGCTTGTAAAAATTTCTTCCGTCGCGTTCTGTTTTCAAAACCTATGAAATTTTGTCGGAATTCTGAAAATTGTCATCCACTTACGTGTAGATTCTGCCGGTTGAAAAAGTGCATAGAATCTGAAATGATTATAAAACTTTCGAATGTTAAATCAGATCAAGAATCGATTTTCGAGTTGATTGCTCATCTCAAAAATCTGAATCTCCAACGAAATCGTCAAATCCAAGAGTTTCGTTTCGATGGAGACCCGACTGTCGAGGAGTTGCTAAATGTGTCAACTCCAATTTCGTTTCGAATCAAGCCAGAAAAATATGAAATGGATAATATTGAATGGGGAAATCTGGTGGCTCTGACAACGATTGGCTATATGAAAAAATTGAATTTCATGAATATATTGGAACTCAAAGATCGTGTTCTAGTAGTTCAGAACGCGTTTTCTGACTTCGATATGTTTTCACACGCATTCAGAGCTTTGGAAGCGAAGAAGGCTGAAATTTCCTATCTCGGTAATTCTGAAATCTTTATGAAAATGGAACCTGTAATTTACGAAAGTTTGGAGAAAAGTATAAAATGTAAACTTCCCGGGCGACTTGGCGAATTGAAAATTACAACTGAGGAGTTTCTACTTCTAGCATCTATATTTTTCTGTAACCCAGGTAAAAATTAAGATGTATTGAATTTTCAAATCCAAGCTTTCAGCAATCTCCAAGCTTTCCGATTCCGGAAAAATTACCATAATTTCTACACTTCGTGTTTGCTACAGTATTACCTTATCAGTTATCAGAATAATGGCCCATGCCGATTTACGGGTTTACTATTGCTTTATCCATCGATCAAGAAAACTCATGAAGAAATTGGATATCATTATTTCCTGTGCAAAACTCGAATCCGGACTTTGTCGTTCAAAAAGCTCTATGATCATGAGATGCTTCAACTTTAACTTGTTTTCTTTTAATTAAAAAAAATTATAATTTAAAAAAATTTGAAAATCTTTGAAAAAAATTTGAAAAATTTGAAAATTGCTATAAAAATTTGAGTATGCAGTCAAAAAATGACGAATTTTCCCAAAAGTGCCAAATATCCCTGAAATTGTCCAAAATACAGGAAATTCGAAAAAAGTCGTAAAATTTCTAGAATGCATAAAAACTAAAAAACTTCCAATATCTTTGAAATTCTGAACATTTTTCGAAATATCAAGGACCTGAAAATCGTTTTTTGAATAGTTAGAAAAATCCCGGGATTTTCAAAAATGCCAAGTATCTGAAAAATGATCGAGAGTTTCAGAAATCCTGAAAATCCGTAAATAGCTGAAATGCACAACACCCAAAAAATTTCAGAAAAAATTTGAAATTCTGAAAACCTTAAAATTGTCAGAAACCTAAAAGTCGATTCTTCAACAGTTAGGAAAATGCCGAAATTCCCAAAAAGTGCCAAATATCCTAAAAATGATTGAAAACGTCAAAAATTTTGGAAATTCCTGAAGAAGATTGTGGAAAATCCTCCAATCTTTGAAATTCATCAAATTCAAAAAATTTCAAAAAAATCTTCAAAATTCTGAAAATCTTCAAAAAGTAAAAAAACCGCTAAAATTTTTTGAATGGTAAAGAAAAAAGGCGAAATTTTAAAAGAGCTCCAAACGCTCCAAGGATATCGAAAATTATAAAAGTTCAAAAAAAAATCTTTGAACATCAAAAATGCCGAAGATTCAGAAAAAAAAACACCTCGAGGGATTTTTATGACAAAATTTTCGAAAAATTAACTTTTTTCATGTCCCCTCTCCTTTAAGAACTTTCGATTCTTTCAAAAAATCTATGACTCAAATTTTTAGACCTACAAATGCTTTTTCAGTGGACCCCCGACTCATCCCTCTTTCCTATTTTAATCAGTTCTTCGTCACTGATAAGGAAACCAAGTGCACAAAATCATAAAAACGAGCAGAATCATAATGTTCCCGGTTTTGTTATTATTCAGAAAATCTGAATTTATCAAATCTTTTGAACAATAATTAGTTGAAAGAAACATTTAGAATGGAGAGCTAATATATTTTAAGATTCCTCAAGTTCTGCCCTTTCTGGCAAGTTTTCTACTTTTTGTACTTCACAGAAAATTTTTATCAGTTCAAAAAACTAATCTATCATCATTTTGTCTCCCAACACCTATATAAATCAACTGGCACAAAGTCAAAAAGTGTTGAAAATGATTAAAATTTTTAATTTATTTTTTGTCTTTCTAACGGTTTCATCCAGAAATACTGACTGGCAGGTGGGTAATTTCTTTTTTCTCAAAATTTTAAGTGAATTTCAGGATTTGATTTTGTCTACTATTCCTCATTTGAATTACACTGGAGTCTCCGCACAATGTACCAAAGAAACAAAACTGTGGTTGGGATCACTGGAATTGTTTTTGGCCGAGTCTAGTATTTGTATGTCTGGTGGAAAATGTAATCCGAAAATATTAAAAGAGAATCTTTTTGCAGTTCAGCGTAAGTCTTTAGAATTCTTTTCAAGAATCACCTAATATATTTAGAACTGGACTCCTTCGGTCGTCTCCTCCAACCAGGCCTTCTAGAACTTTCCACAACTTTCGAGGGATCTTTCCAAGAATGCGAGCAGATCAGTGGTGTCAAATACGACACTAATTATTGCTACATGTCCTTATTACCCAAATTCCACAATCCATTTTCATCTCTTCCATTCCGATCCGCTGTATGCATGCCAAGATCCTGCAAGCATCATGATCTTCCGATTCTATATAATCAGTTGGGATCGAAACTTTTCACGGCGAGAGTTGCTTTTTGTGTTCATCAAGATGTTGAGAAGGATTCAGCGTTTTGGGGATTTACGTTAGTTTGAGAAGGGTTGTAGACGGGAGACTTTAACTTTCGAGTTCCAGGGTGTTCATGATTGTTATGGTGTCGATTTCGATTCTGGCTACAACTGTGGACTTTTTGAGAGAATCGGTTTACGAAAAAACGAGTGATCAGGAGAAGAATATTGGTTAGTTTGATTTTTGTTATCAGGTATTGTGCCGCTGGTGGTCCGTGAGCCGCTGGTGGTCCGTTGGTCGCTAGTCGTCCGTTGGTCGCTAGTCGTCCGGGGGCTGCTGGTCGTCCGTGAGCCGCTGGTCGTTCGTGAGCCGCTGTTCGTCCGGGGGTCGCTAGTCGTCCGTTGGCCGCTAGTGGTCCGTGAGCTGCTGGTGGTTCGTGCGCAGCTGGCGGTACGTGAGCCGCTGGTGGTCCGTGGGCCGATGGTGATCCGTGGACCGCTGGTGGTCCTTTGGTCGTTGGTGGTCCGTGAACCGCTGATGGTTCGTTGGTCGCTGGTCTTTTGTCATTGGGGAGTCTCATGTCCGTCTTGGGCCTTTCTATCACAAAAATACAACTACTTGACACTTATAGAGTTCCGCCCTATGCGTTAACTTCAGTTTTATTTATTTTTTTGGTTTCTGTGAAAGATATAAAAAATCTTCAACTGACAAAACGATAAACTTCAACTGACAAATCTTCAACTGACAAAACGATAAAATACGATAAACGTTTTGTTAGGTGACCAATTTCTAATATCTTCAACAGGTAACGAGAAAAATTGGCTTGAAGTTGTGACCTTATTAAAGATTTACTACCGAACCTAAGCCTTCGAAAATCTGAATCTTCTCATTTTCAGCTCTCAAAATCCTCATTGCCTTCTCGTTCTGGACCAACGCTGGCCAAGTGTTATCTGTCAAGGAACAAAAGCCTGGATTCATAAAGTCCCTAGACTGCATCCGCGCGTTTTCCATGTCCTGGGTTGTCGCTGGACACGCGCTCATGTACTTTTTGTTTTCTGGTAAGTCCTCCAATAGTTGGAGTAACAAAAAATCACCCATTAATTCAGATGCCCTTCTCCCATTGAGTTCTGTGAGTAAGCATATCTGGAATCACCTCTTCCTTCAAGCCGTCCTCTCCGTTGACACTTTTTTCTTATTATCTGGAATTGTAGTGGCTTACTTGTTCTTTAAGGTTAATCCCCTATTTTTAAGGTTTTCGTAAGTGAAAAAAAATTTAGCAACGCCCCAAGCCAGCTGTCATCAAAAGTCCGTTGACCTGGATTCTATTCTACCTACACCGTTATCTCCGTCTCACGCCTCCTTACATGCTGTTCATCGGATTTTTTGTAGTCTATAGTCCTTATGTGCAAGGACCCTATAACGCGTGGATGTGGAGTAGGTGTCTAATACCGTATCCTCGAACGTCGCTTTAATTTCAGATGCCCAGAACCATGAAGCTAATGCTTGTAAGTCAAATTGGTGGAGAAACTTGCTGTACATCAACAACTACGATTTGAATCAAATGACAACTTGCTATGGAGTGTCCTGGTACTTGGCCGTGGATACTCAATTGTACATTCTGGCTCCAATTGTTCTCATTGCTCTCTATTTTAGTTTTGCTGCAGGTTTTGTTTAATAATCATTGTTTTTTGTACCAGGAATCTATTTCAGGAGCCATAACAGTTGTCGCTGGGTGCGTCGGAAGTATTATTACTACATATATTTTGTATGGTGTCTATGATAACATGGCTGCGGATTCGTATCATGATGAGTGAGTTAGAGCAGTTTGAAAAGCTCGAAAAAAAGACCTAAAAGGCACTTGTTGGGTTGGTGGCCTAATTTTTGCAAGTTGAGTTTTCCCAGAACACCAACTTTTGAGGCCTAGAAAGTAACCTGATATTTGGGGGGTTTTAGGCTATTCTTACGTGGTGGCCTAACTTTCGCAAGTTGAATTTTCTAGGTCACTAACTTCCATGACTTGGATATTACGTGCTATTTGCTTGATAGGGTTTCTAGACCATTTAAACATGGTGGCCTAACTCTCGCAAATTTAATTTTCTAAGCTATCAACTTTTATGGCCTAGAAATGATTTGATACATACTTTATGAGTTTTCTATACCATTTTAACATAGTGGCCTAAATTTCTCGACTTGATTTTTCTAGGCCACCGTAGTTCAGAAATAGTTTGACATGCACTTGGTGTGCTTTTTACGTCATTTAGCATGGTGGCCTAGCTTTTGAAAAGTGAGTTTTCTAGGCCACTACCTTTTATGGCCTAGAAACGACTTGATAATCGCCTGGAGAGTTTTCTAGGACGTTTAAACATAGTGGCCTAACTTTTGTGTCAAACTTTCAGAACTCTCGAACCCAAAAAAATTTTTTCAGCGCCAGCGGTGAACACAACAACGTCATCTACCAACGTCCCTGGATCCGTTGCACCCCATACCTCTTGGGACTTCTCACCGGCTACATCATCGCGACATACGGCAAACGTCAGATTCGATTAAACTGGGCAATATGTGTTGTTTGTTGGCTAGTTGCTTTCGGAATTGGATTCGCGTGTTTGTTCTCAAATTATGATTACGACAACGGATCATATTGGTCACCATTCGCCAAGGCAACATTCTGTAATTTCTCTAGGCTATTCTGGTCGATTGCTGTTGCGTGGGTGATTGTTGCTAATCACTTTGGTTGTGGAGGTAAACCTTTGGGTTGTCTAGGCCACACCTAAATTTCTCTTCCAGGACCAATCAACTCATTTATGTCTCATCCTATATGGCAACCATTTGGACGGTTATCCTATTGTGCTTATATTGTTCATTGGATGGTACTGTACTACTACTTGAATGTTGGAGATAGACCTATCCATTATTTTAACACCTGGCAAGTATACTGCTACTATGCGATTCCTGCCACCATCCTCTCCTACGTAGCCGCATTTTTCTGGAGCTGTCTTTTTGAAGTTTCCACGTTGAAGTGAGCTACTGGGTTATAATTTATAGCCCAGAAAATTTCCAATTTTTTTTCAGACTCGAAAAAATGTTGATTGAAGCAATTCTAAGCATTGGCTCCGGCTCTGGCCTTGGCTCCCCGAGCAACAACGCCACACCCAAAAAACCAATTTCCGACGAAAGCTCTCAGTCACAAAACGGAGTCGGCAAAGAACACGAATCCTGGGAAATTGAGCCGGAAACCGATTGCTCAAGTCTCAAACTCTAACACTGATCTCTTCTATCACCTGACCAGCCACAAAAATATATTCTCACGACGCCCCAATGTCCATAATAATAACTTTTCCCAATTTTTTTCCATTAGCCAACTTTTTTTTCTTGCTCAAAAAATGATTTTCGTTGAAAAAATAAACATTTTTTGTTTTCCAAACAGCAGCCAGGTCAGCATCAATCTAATAATGAAAATTATGATTTTCTGGTGACCAGCAGGATTTCGTTGCCAAAAAATAAAGAATTTGGCTACTAAAAATATTCAATTTTGCAAAATCAAGAAGGATTTTTTTTCTGTAAGACTTGGGATCCCGGAAATCTGAAAATTCGCAATTTCAGGAATTTGAAAAATAAATTTAGAAATGTAAAATTTTATGGTTCCAGAATTTCAAATTTGTGTAATTCAGAAAATTTGAATTATTTGAAATTGTGAGATTTCGAAATAGGAAATAGTTTGAGTTCGTTATTTTTTATTTAGTTATGAAATTCTAAATTTTTTTTTGAAAGTTTGAGATGCTGATTTTTCTGAAAGTCTGCGATTTTGTAATTTTTGGAATTCGTGAGATTCTGAAATTCTGAAATTCTAAGATTTTGAAAATTCTGAAATTTTGAACGTCTGAAATTCTTAAAATTTGGAAACTCTAAAATTCTGAAATTCTGAAAATCTGAAATTCTGAGATTATTTTGAGATTCTGAGATTAGATTTCGTAATTTTTTGATATTCTGTGGTTTTCAAACTTTCTGAATATCAAAAATTCTGAAATTTCGAAACTCTGAAATTTTGAAATTTTGAAATTTTGAGATATACAGAGATTCAAAAAAGGATGTTCCGAAATATCAGAATCTTAGAATTTTAGAATTTTAGAATCATTGCATTTTTGCATCTTAGCATCTTAGATTTTTCAGATTCTCAGAATCTTGGAATCTTAGAATCTTAGAAACTTGAATCTCAGAAACTCAGAATCTCAGAATCTTAGAACCCTAGAATGTTAGAATTTTAGAAGTTCAGTATTTTCGAATCTTGGAAGTTTAGAATTTCAGGATTCCAAAATCTTAGAATTTTAGAATTTCAGAATTTCAGCAAAATTCTGCTGATCGTATGTTTTTACTATTGCAGAGACCTTCCTTTTCCACGTTTTTGTATTTTTGAAACCCATACAAAATCTTACAAAAATAAGCCTCGAGATCCTCGTTGTCTTCTGATTCTCCAGAAAAAAAACTTCCGGATGCAAATGCTCATCCTCCGCTCTCTCTCTGCCCATTTCTGAACCCTCCACACCCGGAAATTAAATTCATTTCCGTTTTCTCAAAAATCCAACTTTTGGTTCATCAAAAATCCTTTAAATATTTTATCACCATTCCAGATAAAATGGCATCAGACTGCGAACCGGATGGTTCGATAAAGGGAAACTTGTTGATTCTCAAATTTTCTCCATTATTCGCCCTTCCATTTTTCATTTTTGCTGGGTACGTTTTGGTATGGAAGTCCAGTAAACATCTTCAACCATCCAAACGTGCTTATGGATATTTTTTGATAAGGTAAGAGGTATCGAACTCCAGAAACTCAAAGTTTTAGGATCTTGGAATCTTGGAGACTGAAAATTTTAGAATCCTAAAATCTTAGAATCTCAGAATCTTGGAATCTGGGAATCTTAGATCTTCAGAATCGTAGAATCTGAGAATAATGGAATCCTGGAAATCTGGAATCATCTAATCCCGGAAACCTGAAACCCTGGAATCCAGAAATTCTGGAATCCTGGAATCCTGAAATCCTGGAATCCTGGATCAATGTTTTCCGAATGAATTCTGCTCAGAACCAAGCTTTCAAAAGCCTGTAAACTTTTGTAATGAAAAATCGAATATTCAAAAACAATGGAAACCCAACGAGTACTGTATTTTTGAAGGCGCATAACAAAAAATGTGCTATTGTCATAAATTTTCTTGCCATTTCGATTTTTTATTCTGAAAATGCTATAAATTCCAAAAATGTTTTTTTTTAAATTTTCCGGAATTCGAGAAAAGACTATTCGGATTTTTTTGAAATCCGAAACTTAAATATTCTGAAATTTTTCTTTCGGAACTTTCGAAAACTCCAAGAAGTTTATTCTGTACACCTCTGCTAAAAAGAACCAGGATTCCAGAATTTTTCTGAAATCCATTTCTTCCAAATTCCAGCAAATTCGTCTCCCTCCTATTCCTATCAGCAGGAATTGCTCCAATTCTCCACACCCCATCATGGGGTTTTCAGTCAACCGGTTTCCTTCAAATTTTCGATGTTCTAAACCCAATGTGGTCCATCATCGGTACAATGTACTGTCATTTGAGTGAGATTCTTGATTCATAAATTCAAATTTTCGCGGGATTATTTTTTCAGTCATGTTATTCTTCTTGATCCAAGTCATCAATACTCGTTGTGAAGTTATCGAAAAGTTGTCTGCAGTAGCTTTTGAAGAAGAGAAGAAAATGTTCTTTTTGCTAAGAACTCTTTTGAAAATTCTCTATTTTTTCATCCTTTTCTCCTTTTGGTGTCTTCTTCTAACCCTTGGATTCGGAGAAGGCATTGTGCAAAAACGACTGAGAGACGCAGTGGAGAAGGTGAGCCCTCTTTATTGTCGTGTCTCCCTCTTTGCATCGTAGCCTCCTTAGCTCAATTGGTAGAGCGTGAGACTTTTAATCTTAAGGTCAGGGGTTCGAGTCCCCTAGGTGGCTAGATATTTTTTATTTTTTTAGGTTATTTTTTCATTCTATGAAATTAATTTTCAGACAAAAATCAAGGTCAACTGTACCACTTTCTTTTTCCTCGACACAGAATCTTGGCGTCTTATCATCGCTATCATTTCCATCGTATTTCTGCTCATGACCTTTATCATATTCTCAATTGGATACTTATCAGGAGCTTATCATATCCTCAAAAAATCCAAAATGAAGATATCCAAAAAGTTCTGGAAGATACAAACTGGATTTCTATCGCTTTTGGTCATTCAAGTCATTCTTCTTTTTTGCTTCCTTTTGTTCCTACCAGTTTGCTTTTTGGCCCTCAAATCGCCAGGCTCGGAATCTAGTGGGTTTTTTGGAGTTTTCAAATATTTCAAAGTTATTTTTAGCTTCACTGACAATTCTACTATTCACTGCTCATCATGGAACCATCTCCACTATCATTTTCATCATAGCCCATCGATTTGTGAGATCCAGAATTTTAAGAGTTTACAATAACTGTAAGTCATAGTTTTCTTTTTTTTTTTTGAAATTTAATTTTTCAGGTGTTCCGAAATCCCGTCGAATTGGAGTAATCGTTGATGCAGACCGTCTCGACACTCATTCCGTGCCACAAACTCAAGTTTTTGCAGTGATAACTGAAGATACTACTGTATGATTAAGAAAAAACAATGAAGTTTGGTTTTCTTGAGATTTATTAATTCTGCTTCTCGATGCAGAAGTACAAAAATTTCACAAAAGAGATTCAGACAAAAAGTCAGATCGATCAAAAAAATATTGAGATCAAAAAGTACAAATGAACATGAGAAAATTACAACGTAATTGAAAAATTATGTACATACAACAAAAAATGATAAGCAGAACAACAAATGGCTTAATACACAAAAAAAGAAACAGGGTTTGGACTTTAAAACTTTGAAACTTCGAGTCTAATGCAATATATTTACATAAGACTAGAAGTTAGGCTTTAGAAAATAAAAACCCGATTTATGAGTAGAAAGGAAAACGTTTCAGGACATAAGGAAATAATTGAAAAATAAGTTCAAATTATTTCTCTCCTTGTCGTCAAACGATTTCACAGGAAGGTTATAATAACTGATCTCCCCACCCACCCCACCCTTCCCTTCTGTGGATTCTGAAGAGTTTTGAATAGAATTGGATTCCACCCAAAATTCAAAAGAATCAACAGAAATCCTACCCTTAAAATCGGGTTTTTTATTTTTTTTTAATATATATTTTTTCTTTTTTTTAGTCTTTTTAAATAAAATAAACGTAACGAGAGGTCGCTGTAGACAGCCTACAAAATCCAATCTGAGTAATCGGCATTCTTTCATATGGTAAGAACCAATACGCTTCCCCGATCAAGCACAGGGTACCGATCACGGAAAGTTTGTCTGATCGAGCCAGGATAATCACCGCCCCCAACAATAAGTTTGATTCCTGGAAAAATTCTTTGAACTGATTAATCGCTTGCCGGTTACTTACGCATATCTCCTGACACGGCTCTCGGATCCAACTTTAACTCAAAAATTAGATCATGTAAATATTTGGAAGCTTGTTTGAGTGAGAACCAGTGAAAATCGAATTCCAATTGTTTAGTAGGAACCAGATGGAGTGTTCCTAAAGGATGATTTCTGCCGCGAAGCAGAATGTCGATACTTTGGCTCGCGGACTTGACGTCATCACACGTTTTCATTCTTGCCTAACCATATTCTCATTTAAATTGAGTCTTTAGAAATAAATATCTTACGTATAATTCTTTAACTTTCTTCCTAACCACTACATCCCTTCCGAGCTCTTCGATTGTTTTTTTCTCATTACGCTTATTGATTAAATAAATTAAACGGACCCACTCCTTCTTGATCTGGTATTTACCTTCCCGAACGAATCGAGCCTTCAAACGACTGACTGTTCTCTCCTGAACATGAGATTAATTGCAACTATTTGAAATGTTTTGAAAAAGTGTGTACAAGAAACTATAGATTTTCTTTAGATAATTGTTTTGCCATAGCTAATAACCACTCCTACCATAAACAGCCAAAAAACTTACTTGTTCTCCTGACAAAACCAAGGGGCATGGGTCCAACTCAGCATTAGAACTTTTCTTCTTACTGTAAGAAGTTTTATTGATTGACATTGTCGAATAATTTTACTCTTCCGCGTCACCCTTTTATGCTCATATTTTTGCTGATAAATGGGTGTTGCTGCGATAAGAACGAAGAGCTGCGTAAAACGGTTGAAGTACATTGAAAAGGAATTAAAATTTTTAAACAAATTTTTAAGCAAATATTAATTCTGAAGTTTGCACTGTCATAAAAGCTGTACGTTTCTCGTGAAACATCCTTTCAACATTTTAACGCAATTCTTTGCTCTTATCAAAGCAAAACCCATTGATGGAGTAAAATTACAACGGAGCAGAAAGAAAAGAA